CTCCTCCTGCCTATCGGGCCCCTTGTTGGGGTCACCATTCTGTCCTCACACACTAGGTATGGGAAAATCCCAAGGCTCTGCTCTAGATCTCCCAGGGTCCCTTGGTGATAGTCTTATTATATTGTATTGTAAGGGTATTCTCTCCCTTGGAAACCTCATCACCTCCCATGGACTCAACTAATATTTCTAGGAAGATCACTCCCAAGCATTTCTGGCCAGACAGAATCCCACTTCCGGGATCCAGTCCCATGTGTCTCCCTTCCTGGAAGTATCTCTCTCTCAAGCCCAGCTTCCCAGAATCAGGACGTGTGAAGCTGTTTTGTCTCCCCCTGCCTCTTCCAGCCCCTTCCTTCTCCTGACTTCCAAATCCTCTCTGGGCACCACATGCGGCTTCCCACCTCCAGACTCGTCCTTGACTCGCCCTTCCCCAGCCAGACTGATCTGAGCACCATCACGCCTCCTACTCATGACAGCGATGAGAGGACAGCACTACAATTTGCAGATGTGTGTGTGCACCTCTTGTGATGTCTTACCCCTTGAGCCTTCTCCCCCCTCATTCCCTGTCCCCTAGACTGTTGCAACAAGCTTTACTTGGTCGTCTCCGACTATCCTGGCTCCAGGCCAGGTGAGACCACGGCTCCAGAAGGGTCAGGGACCTGTCCCGGCTCAGGATTTGACTTAAGCCTTCAAGGTGCGCTACCTCACAACACCCCAGTGCTTTCTGCAGGGTCAAAGGTAGAGGAGCCAGAGGGTAGAGGACAGACCCGGGGGGACATGACAGTGTCCCAGCATGGTTCAGAGAAGTTGTGAGCCAGAAATCCCTCCTGCCATGTAGGATCAGACCATGTGGTCCCAGAGGAGGTGTCCAGTGACTGACCTGGGGCCCTGGACCTGGGCTCAGGGAGAGATGGTGGCAATGATGGGGCTGGGAAGAAGGAGGGTCACCGGTGTGGGCACTGCCAACGATTGCCTGGCGCCAGCCTGGCAGGAAGGAGACCAAGGTAGCCTGGCCTGAAGAGTATCTAAAGGCCCCCCTTCCTCAAGGGCCTTTGCCAGTCCTTAATCCTGCTGCCTGTGCTGGGAGGCAAGTCCTCCTTTGTCCTGCCTAGAGCCTCCTCTGGTCAAACCTAATGGTTTGCCTGGTATCTCCCCCATCAGACTGGGAGCTCCCTAAGGCCAGGGACCCCCAGCACCAGCAGCACAGGGCCTGGCACACAGTAGGCACTTAGTAAGCAAGCACACAGTAGGCACTTAGGTAGGTAAGGCTGATTCTCCTGAATCAACACATTCCTTGGAAGGAGGAAACTTCAGCTCAGCGAGTGAAAGCCAGCTTCTCTCCCACCTTTGCCTCCCCTGGTCTAATTTCAAGCAACCTGTGGACCTGGAGCAGAGGCTGCTGAGCCTGAGAGGTGGGGGAAGGGTGCTGCACTTCCAGGGGCCCTGGGCTACTGGCTGGGGTGGATGGGCCTCTGCACCCTGGCCTTTGGCCTCCCACCAGAGGAGCCCTGCCTGGTGTGAAGGTTCAAGCTGCTTTCCACAACAAGGCCAAAACAACTCTGGTGGTCAGGAAGGAGGGAGGCCTGAGCCCACTAACTTGAGCCCCCCACAGCTGTCTTCAGCAGCCATGCACAGGCACACCAGCTGCCAGGGCAGAGAGGGAAGGCCACAGCCGCCCCTCCCCTTCTCAGAACGGCCCTGCTCCCGAATCTGGCAGCCTCCCAGAAAGGACGGCCTGTTCCCTGCTGAGTGGATCCCAGGCCTGGTAAACATGTTTGTGAGCATAGCCACCCGAGGCTGAGTCACAGACCCACGTCATCAGTCCCTCTCAGAGCCACCCCTGTAGGGTGGCTCCAGGGAGATCCTGATTCTACCACCAGGCTCTACACCTGCCATCTTGGGGGAGGCCTTCTTGAAACAGTGCTGGCTGCCTGCACAAGGCACCTGGAAAGACCAGGAAAGGAGTGAAAAACAAGAGTGACTCATAGCCTGGGCCTGCTGACCATGCTGCTGGAGGAGTCTCAGGACATGCCCGTCACAGGCCTGGAGGCAGGAGGAGCTCAGGATGTGTCCATCACAGGCCTGGTGGCAGGAGGAACTCAGGACATGCCCGTCACAGGTCTGGTGGCAGGAGGAGCTCAGGACGTGCCTGTCACAGGCCTGGTGGTGGGAGGAGCTCAGGACGTGCCCGTCACAGGCCTGCTAACCATGCTGCCAGAGGAGTCCCAAGATGTGCCCATCACGGGCCTGGTGGCAGGAGGAGCTCAGGATGTGCCCGTCACAGAGACCTAACCCCCGGGGCAACTGAGCAGGCAGAGCTGGCCCATCTCCCCTCACCTCACACTGACTTCCGTTTGAAGCTAAGATGATTCAGGGCCAGTCTGTACCATGAGTAGGTGGGGTTAGCTTAGGGTCTCTGAGGTCATTTCCTACCCTAATGGTCCCTGACCCTCGGGTGTCTCTCCAGCCTCTCCCTAAACAGAGCATCCCTGGGGCCTTGGGGGCAGCCAGTGCTGGACTCCTATGCAAGAGAATTGTTAGCTGCAAGGGTCCCAGGCCCCACAGGCTGCCACTATCTGCCCACAGACCCCCAGAAGACCTCGGGGTGATAAGAAAAAAAACAAGGGCTAAGGAGACCCCAAGAAAGTGCCTTCCCCTGGATTCTGAGTTTCTGACACTTGCTCTCCCTGCCTATGGCGCAGGTGGCTTCAGAGGAAGTCAAGGCCCAGCCCTCTGCCTTCCCTGACCCCCAGCCTTCAGCCTATGCTCATGGCGGTGTTGATGGGCCTGACTTGTGATATAAGCTCAAGGGTAGAGCCTCCGACTGGACCTCCAGGACAAGCCCACCACCTCTCTTTTCTGTCGAGGGACACAGACTCACAGAATCTCAGAGCTGACCATGAGTCAGGGAAGCTCTTCACACTTATGAAATCCTCTGTTCCAGCCACTCCCCAAACTGGCCCGTTGGGCTGGAGAATGCAGGGGCTTGTGCCAAAGGGCAAGATTCTGGGAATGAGAAGCCCTGGGCACATACCGGCAGGTAACCCTGGCAGTGACTGACCCTTAATAAGCCCGTGTCTTTCCAACTGCAAAATGGGGTTGACGGCCCATTTTGACAGCTCAGAGGGTCCTCAGGAGGGGCCAGGGAAGGGTTCTGTGTGCTTGAATGGCCCAGCAGGCGGACACCCCCTTCCTGCAAAGGAGGGCAAGGTCTAGCAGACTGTAAAGTGTTATGCAACTTAGAGGCATTATTCTTGAGAACTGGACCAGAAAGTCCTAGTGCTTCCCACAGAGGACAGACCATGTGCCCTTGGCCATGGGGAGGGCAGCAGAGCCAGGCTCTTCTGGGGAGATGGCTGAACCATGCAGGGCTGCTGGCCCCTCCTGGGTATGGCTGAGTGGACAGCTGGGACATCATAGGGGGCCCTGGGCATTGCAGAGCCCCAGGCAGGTGGGGGGCATCCTTCACTTCAGAAGCTCTGCCCCCTCCCTCCCATTTCCCATTTCACCCCCACTTTTATCTCCAGAATGATGTATATGCCTTGTCATTCCTGTGGCCTTCGTAGTTGGGACCAAAGAGCCAGGGCAGGAAATAGCAGCAAATGATTGTTTCTAGGTGAGTGTAGAGATAGGTGCCAAGCGGTGGGGGGTAGCAGTGTTCATGGCAAGCCCCCATAGCAGTTTCCCAATGAGTCAGTCTCCACCCCTGGCAGAGCAGAGACCTCACCCTACCTTCCATGGGCCTCCAGCAAGGGCTGGGTCAGGCCTGATCATGCAGGGTGGGGGGGGGGTGTTCACACCTGGTTTGGGAGCTGGGCCCAGACAGGCCAGGCCAGAGAGCCTCCAGGGCCCAGGGCTCAGGCAGGTCCCTGCCCACTCCCATACATGTGCTAACACCATCTCTGACTGAGCCCTGGGGTCCTTTCCCCCCAGGACAGAGAGTACACAAAAGAGGCTGCTATGAGAAAGTGAACAGAAGAGGACAGCGAAGGTTCAGAGTTCAGGTCCTGGCTTGTGCCAGCTTGGGCAAGCTGTGTTCTCTGGGACTAAGAGGGAGGAGAGCTAATGATTTGTGCAAAGCTGTTTTCCCTCCAGAAAAAAAGGAAGGCTCAGTAATTAGAGGTCTGACAGTGGTCCCGGGCAGATGCCTTCAGCTCTGATATCAGGCCCCTGGTCAGAGCCGGGAAAGCCCAATCCTCAGAGGCTCCATCCTGCGGGGTTAGGGCCCCAGAATCCCAGTGGGAGGGGATTTCAAGGAGGGCCCGTTCATTGGCTGGACACTAGGCACCCGCCGAGCAGCTCATCTGGACAGTATTCTGGCCGAGGTTTAGAAAAAGGGGAAATGCTGGGGGTGGGGGTGAGAGGTAGGTGCCAAGGAAGCCCTCCGCCCAGGTTCTCCTGCTCCTTTGCCTGCCCAATAATCAGCCGGGGAGGTCCTGCCCACAGAGATGGAGACCATCCACAGAGCCAGGAGCATTAGGGGCCGAACCTCAGACTAGCAGGGCTGGGCAGGTCACTGGAGATGCACCGCTGGGATGAGCCTGGTTGTCTTGTGATGCTCCAGGGGTAAGGTGAGGAGAGATCACATCGCCAGGCTGGTGCAAGCCTGGTGCCCTTTGTGTGTAGATAGAGAGGAGAGAATGATAAATACGCAGAACATCTTCTCAGAGGCAGCCAGGTGATACAGGGTGCATAGGGCAAGGTCAGGTCAAGAAAACCTGCATTCAAACCTGGCCTCAGGCACTTGCTGGTTGTGTGGCCCTGGGCAAGTCATTTCACCGGGCTTGCCTTAGTCTCCTCATCTGTAAACTGGCACTAATGATAGCACCTACCTCCCAGGGTTGTTGTGAGGATTCAATCAATTGCAAAGCACTTTTCAGCCCTATAAATAAATGAAGGAAGCTAGGAAGGAAGAGAGGGAGGGAGGGAGGAAGGAAGGACCCCAGAAATGCTGGAGGGCCCTACCGAGCATGGTTCGACACTTTTTGGCTGGCTTGAAAGGGGGCTTCCTTTTCCAGTACGGCCTCAATTCTGAGGCTGCTGGGCTTCTTCCAACGCTAACATTCTGCGCTCACCAGGGTCTGTCTGAGCAGATGGAGATCAGAACCCTCTGCTAAGGAGGAAGCAAGGAAGAGCAAGCGGGCAGACTGGCAGCCACAAGGGGGCAGGCAGAGCTCCCACAAAGGCCCGCGGTCAAGGCTGAATGCAGCGCCAATGCATCTGGAGAGGCAGATGTGAAGCAAGGCAGTGTCTGGTGTGTGCCCAGGGTGGAGGGCCAAAGAGCCAGGAGAGGCAGACGGTTCTAGAGGAGGAAAGATTCCCCACGGGCGGAGTGAGAACGCACTGGCTCCGAAGCCCCCTCCTCCCTGGCCTGGGGCCCGAGTTCTTCCCAGACTTGCTTCAGGAGGAAGCCCCAAACCTCTTCCTGCAAGCTCGCGGGACCCCGAAAGAGCCCACCAAGGGGTGCGCCAGGCCTCCTGGTCCTCACTCTGCCTGCTGGGCCCTGTGCCTTTTGCCCTCCCAAGCAGGTCTCTTGGCAGGGGGCTTTGGGGAGGGATCCTTTTTTTTCTCCGCACAAACTGAACCCAAGGAGTGTGTGATACCAGAGTGCAGTGGGATACCCGTTACCACAGAAATATCTCATTGGAGGAGACACTCGAACCCGTACCCCTGAAACATTGCTGTCAATCAGGGCTCTGGTGTTTGGTGAAGGCCTCCCTCAACTCTAACCCCCGCCTCCCCTTTTGGGAGAGCTCCTTCTTGCCAAGTTTGCTTCTTGTATCCCATCCAAACCATCCTTCTTTCCATCCCCCGAATCCTCTCCCCTCCAGGCCAAATACTGGCCTAAAGGCCTCTCAATGTCCTGATGGCCCTCTCTCATCTGGGGTTTTCCTCTTATCACTGGGGTGCCTGGCCAGAGTTGGACCAGTGCCCCCCCTCTCTATTCCTGCCTCTGTGCTTAAGCCCTCTTGGCTGTTCCCCCCCAACCCTGCTGACTCATGTGGAGTTTTGGGTCAACTACAGCATAATCTCATTATCAACAAGGACAAAGAGTGAACCATTTGGCAAGGCCACCAACCTGCCCCTAAGGGACCTTAGCAGAGGGTTCTGATGTCTGCACGCCTCAGGGAACTCTGTGTCCTGGCTCCTTTATCTCACCAGGGCCGGGGGGCCATTAACACCCTCTTGTATTAACTGCTTTGAAAGCCCTGCAGTGTGGTGTTCATTCCGCTCAGAATGAGGACCGAGACATTTATTCAAACCGTTGCTGCGCAGAGACAGACTCCCAGAGCCTGGAAGGGCCCTGGGCAGCCTGGTCCAACCCTCCCTAGGAGGTACCCAGCCAGCTCTTGGTTGTTCAGCCTGTTCCAGGACCTCCCAAGGCAGCCCCTTTCACTCTGGGGCAGCTCTCGTTGGGAGCCAGAACGGCTGCCTGGCCACTTCCACACTGCTCCGGGCCGAGGAGAAGCGTGCAGCCCTCCTTCCAGAGGCCTGCTGGCCTCGCCCATCTTCCTCGGCCTCCTGTGCACCCTGGGCTCGGGAGCTGGCCAGGGAGGCTCAATAGATGATCCCCTCAGGCTCAAGAAGCAGGTAGTTCTTCAAAGACAAAGGTAAGGGCAGGAGCGGGATGACCTGGTGGCATCTGCTGAGCAGGATCCTCCTCACGGCACACCTGGCCAGGTGCATGAGGGACCTCGGGGTGTTGCTGCAGATGCTGAAGAGAGAGTGGTAGAAGTCCCAGTGCCTCTGTGAGAGATGACACAAAGGAGGCCGGTCAGAGCCCAGCCCCCCCCCCTCCACCCCAGTGGCTAAGGCCTGCCATCTTCCTTTTTCTCCAGTGACTTTGCCCTCGAGGGCCCAGTGAGGGCCAGGCCACAGTCCTCAAATGCGGGGAGGCGCCGGGGCCTGCCCTGGAGCAGGGAGCTGCCCAGAGAGGGCTGGGCTGGAGACTGGCTCCACCCTCAAGCCCTGGATGACTTTCCGGGGGCATCTAAACATTCGGAATTCTTCTGGGACCCAGGGGCACAGCCAGGTTAGAAAGGTGTCAGTGATGACCCAGACAAGTGCAGTGTGCTGGGGATGCTGGCCCAGCCCAAGGTGGTGGCTTGTAGACAGAGGCTGGATGGTAGGTGTGGAGGGGAACTCTAGGGGGGCACTCCTGAGCTCAGAAGATGTGACTGCTAAGTAAGGTCAGGGCCCCTGAAAGGGAGACGCTTGCCAGACCCACGGCCCCATCCCTCACATAACTTCTGCCTGCCCACTCCCCTGTCCCTCTCAGCAGAGATGGCCAACAAACACGGCAGCCTGGGGGGAGCTGGTTTCCAAGGCTGGACTGCTGTCTCCCCCCACTCCAGAAGTCTCCGAGGGCTTGGACCAGCCCCACCTGCCTGGGCCACTCTTTCTCACGGGCTCTCCAGAGGTCCCAGCCCTGACCCCCAGTCAGAGGGGTCCCTGATCCCGATCGCCCCCTCACCTCCAGGCTGTCCTCTGGAATCGCCTTCTTCCACTTGGGTGTCCACACGATATGCTCGTAGGCATTCACGACCACCTCCACCGCTAGAGGGCAGGCGTGGCAAGACTCCAACACCTGGGGGACGGTACCAGAAGATCAACATGCATCCATGCTGGTCAGTCAGTCAGTCAGTCAGTCAACCAGCGTTTATTAACTCCTGGTACATGGCAGCCGCTGTGTTCAGAACAGAGACCAGGAATGAGGCAATTCCTTCTCACAAAGAGCTCATACTCTCCCTGGGGAGGCAAGAACAACCAGCCTCCATAGTCACTGTGTGTGGAGGAAGCCATTCCTCTGGAGAAGGGGCTGGCCATCCCCACCCAACTGTCAGTCCCAGGGCAGGCAAGCCAGCCAGGCACCCTGAAGGAGAGGCAGGAAGTGGCATGTGCTGGGCAGCCATTATCTCCCCTCCCCCTCACCCCCTGGTGAAGACAGCCCAGGACCCTGGATCCAAGAGCCCAGGCACAGTGATGCCCCCCAGACCAATCCAGCCCCCACAGTCACCATCCAAGGGAGAAAACCCCTAGGCTTCGAAGTGTGACCTGGAAGCTTCCTCTGCAAGGGCTGCAGCACCACCTTCCTTAACAGCCCCAGCTACTGGACACCCAGAGGAGAGAGCTCTCATTCCCACACACTGAGGAGCTGTGGGATGGCTCAGAAATGAGCCATGGAAATGACACTAAAGACGACCTGATGCTTCTGCTTTGCCCAGGCCCCTCAAAGACCATCAGATGTCCCATCTGACGTGCAGCTAAAGCCTAGCATGTGTTTGTTGTTTCCCCATTAGAATGTGAGTTTCCTGGGAACTGAGACTGCCTAGGTTCTCTATTCAGAGCCCTAGAACTTAGCACAGTGCCTGGTACATAGATGGCACCTGATGAATGTCTTTCATTCACTCGCTCACTCACTCATTCATTCATTCATTCACTCACTCATTTACTCATTCATTCATTCACTCATTCATTTATTCACTCACTCATTTATTTATCACTCATTCATTCACTCATTCAAGCACATACAGAGAGATGTCAAGAACTGATTTCTTGAAGCTATGCCATGTTACTAAGCAGAAGATGTGTCCTCAGGCACCCAAACTCTCCACCTTCCTGTCTTCAGTCTCCAGTCTTCCAATGTGTTCCCACTCTACTGGCTGACCCAGGGCTTAGGTGAGGTGGAGGGAGGAAAGGATCTAGTCGGTGTCTGAAGGCTCAGGAGGATGCCTGAGGGAAATCATCCCAGGCTTGCCAAATGGAAGTCACCCCATATGGGCCTAAGGCATTGACCCAAGAATGCTAGTTCATTCAAAGCATCCTTTGTTGAGAGATGGCTCCCTGCGAGGGCCTGTAGGGGATACAAACAACAGTGCCTTTGTGGGGCTCCTGGTCTTGGGGCTAGGCAGGTGACAGACTACTCCTGGGAAGGGGATTCACTGGCTGAAAATGTATTCCATCCCACCTGGGCTGGAAGACTCCAGGCTTGTTGTTCCAAGACTTCACCATCATGGGAAAGTTAGCCATGGACTCTATTATCTGAATTGATTCTATGAATTGAAACAACAAAGTTACCCAGGAAGGCCAATGAGTCTTCTGAGATAAGACAGAGAATGGTGCTGATAGAACAAGGCTGAGACCCTTAGGTGTTTGTGTGAAAGAAGACAGCCGATCTCGGGTGCTGCTTTGAGACTCCAAATGCCCCCATGGAACCATCAATCAGCACTTACTCAATGCCCAGTGTGGCCACTTCAGTCTCAGAAGAAGCCCCTTTTGGGGTGGCTCTCAGGGCCCAGAGGGGATCATCGGGAAGGCTTGGACAGTTTTATCCCCAGAGTAGGCTACTGACCACCTGGACAGAAAGAGGAATGGGTGAGGGATTGCCATGGGAGAATCACTGTTCCTCAGTCATTTACTACCTGTGTGACCAGAGGCAAATCAGTTTACCTGCTGGGGTCTCAGTTTCCTCATCTCTAAAATGATAGGCTTGGTCCCTTCTAGCTCCAAATAGGAAGGAGAGGAAAGCCAGGCCCTGTCTGATGTGTCCCTTAGATCTGGGAAGAAGAGTTTGCTCCAAGGAGCACAGGAACCTTCCCCAGCTTCCAGTCCAGCGGGGAAGTCAGCCCAGGAGGACAGAAAGTTCTCAAGAGTGAGACGCAGATGAGGGGGAGTAAGGAGGGAGAGATTGGTTCCCCACAGATCTTGGACTTGGCTGACTACCCTCAGTTCTGGAGGATAGGGACTAGTATGGTTAATGGTGAATGGGACCCAAACAGAAGGATGATGAAAAATATCGAGCTCATCTGGCCAAAAGGAGGGAACTTGCCTGAAGTCTGACCCAAGACTCAGTATGTAAAGGTTGATTAGGTAGAGGGCACAGTGGAAGCCTCTGTCCTTGAGTAGAAGGGCACTTTGCAAGAGAGGGTCTCAGAAAGCTAAGAGAGGACTAGGCTGGCTGGTCCTTGGGATACAGCTTCCCTGCAGGAATAAAGGCAGAGTAAACCAAAGGGCCTTCCGATGCCAGGATTGTCCATTCCTCTTCCTTAAGGGACGTTAGTCAAAGATGGAGTGCCTGAAAATATCGGCTACAAAATACGGAATTCTCAATAAAAATTTCCCAAAGCCCCAGAATTTGGAGTCCTGAAAGTCTGAGTGAGAAGGGACCTTCCAGATCACAAAGCCCAGATAACTGGGAGGGACTGAGCACTAAAGCTAGCAGAGACCTTCCAGTCTTCCTGTTCAATCCCTTCACTTTACAAATAAAGAAACCAAGGTTTAAGAAGCAAAATGGCACCTTGGGTCACTCAGGTTGAAGGCAGAAACAAGCATTTATTGAGCACCTATTGCATGCCAGTGGCTGTGCTAGGAATTTTGCAAACATTAACTCATTGGCAGAAACAAGCATTTATGAAGCACCTATTGCACTCCAAGGGCTGTGCTCTGGACTTTGCAAACATTAACTCACTTAATACTCACAACAACCCTGAAAAGTACTTTCTGTTATTATTCCCATCATACAGTTGAGGAAACCAAGCCATATGGAAGTTAAGTGACTTGCCCAGGGTGGCAGCAAGTGTCTGAGGCTGGATTTGAAGGTCTTCCTGACTCAAGTCACGTGCCCTATTTGCCACACCCTAATGTTTACATGTAGGAATGCCTACAGAGGAAGTGACTTGTCCAAGGCCACACAGCAAGGAAGTGGCAGGCAGGATTGGAACCTAAGTCTTCTGATTATGTGACAAGTGCCCCCCACCATATCCCTGTACTGCCTATACAGACGTAAAGAGGAAGAAATATTCTATGATCTAGGCAATCCTTGGGGAGCCTGGGCTGAGCCCTCAACTGTATGCCCAGGATTGGGTGAGTGGAGTTGCCTGTGTCTCTCTGAAGCCAAGGGGCTCTGTCTGCCCTCTGCCTTGAACTTTTTCTGAAGAGCATTCACTCATTCATTCATTCATTCATTCATCATTCCCTTACCCTGTCTCTCTGGTGCACAGACTCACCAGCATCTCTAGGTCAAAGACAGGAACTCACCCTCGGATTCTTCCTATCTTTTATGAGCTCGATAGAATTAGTTTGCAGCATCCAACCCTCTGAATCTCCTCAGCTGACTCACTCACCATTTCCTGATCTCTCATGTTAGTACTGGCCCCAGTGGCTGGTTGTTGGTTGGGGTGGGAGAGGGTAGTCCCTCCATCTATTCCCACATCAAGGAGATATAGGCTCCCTATGGAGTCCAAGGATGTGTTTTGAAGACAGCAGGGCTTCGGCTGGAGAGGAAGCATTGAGGCCACTGGCCCTCAGCCCCATGCTTCCTATACAGATTTCCACAGAAGACAGCACAGTACCAGTGTATAGCTGTGTGACAAAGGATCCTGGATCCTGGGAATACTCTGTACCACAGGAAAGGGCTAAGTGCTTGGGAGCTGGCCAAAAGCCTTAGTCCTGGCCCTGGTGTGTGTGCACATGGGAAGCAGAGCACAGAGATGGACTACTGTGTGCATAATCAGAGGACCTTGGCCTGGTTACCTGGTTATTTCTGACTGTTTGACCCGTTTTCCTCCCACCTCTGGGGCAGTGAAAGTAGATGGATTTTATATAGGGCTCTATAGGGTCCCCATGGTGCTTGACCTTTGGACCTGTCCCTGTCCTGGGATGGGAAGCAGGGTGAGGGAGGGGATGCTACAGGGATTGGTGGCCCCATTCTTGGGGTAGGTGGACTGTAGGGAGGATGACCAAGCTCCCTAAGGGCAAAGCTGTTTCTCTTTCCCCTAGACATCCTGGGGTGCGCCCACTGCAGGAGAGGCTCGGCAAGTGCCTTCACTGAGGAGGCTGAGGTCTGTGGGGCCTCACCTTGTGGAACTGGGGCGGGTAGATGCGCGCAGCCCCGTGGTTGAGCAGAAGTTGGTAGCAGCGGGCAGGTCGGGCTGTCGGGCGCACCGGGGTCACCTTGAGCACGTACTGGATGGCGGCGCAGCCGTTGACATCCAGCAGGTTGGCCTCGGCGCCTGCCTCCAGCAGCAGCCGCATGGCGTCCTCGTCGCAGTTCCAGGCCGCCTTGTGCAGCGGCGCCTTGAAGTCCTCGTCCCGGGCGTTGACCTGGGCCTTGGACGCCAGCAGCAGGCGGCAGACGAGGTGGTGCTGGGCGCTGTACACCTGCTCCTTGAATCGCAGTGCCCAGTAAGCAGCCAGCGCCAGCGGAGTCTCCAGGTGTGCGTTGACGCTGTCCACCAGGGCGCCGTGCTCCACGTAGAAGGCTGCCAGCTCGGGCAGACCGCCGCGCACCGCCGCGTGCAGGGGCGTCTCCTCGTCCGCGTTGTTAGTCTTCATGTTCACATTAGCACCTGGAAGCAGGATGGGCCAAGATGAGAAGAGGTCCAGGAAAGGGGAGGAAAGGCGCAGGAGAGGAGAGGAGTGCAGGGGGCGTTCAGGGGGGCCAGGGCCATCCGGGCAGCTTGGTAGGGCAGAGGATACAGCATCAGGCTTGGAATCAGAAAGACTCATCTTCCTGAGTTCAAATCTGGCCTCAAACACTTACTAATTGTGAGACCCTGGGCAAGTTACTTAACCCTGTTTGCCTCAGTTTCCTCATCTGGAAAATGAGCTGGAAAAGGAAATGGCAAACCAAGAAAATGGGGTCATGGAGTCTGACGTGACTGAACAACAACAATGACACCAAAGTCCCTACAGACACCATGAACACAGGGATTAGGCGCGCGGAACACACACAGGCTCTCACACAGGGACCCTGTGAGCCCTCTAAATGTGGGCCCATGCAATCTAGATCATCTTCCACCCCACTACCAAGTTGATCTTAAAGCCTGTCTCTGACCATGACAACTCTCCCATCCACACTCAATCCGATCCAGGGGCCCCTCATTGACTCCATGATCGAATAGAAACACCACAATATCAAATGGTGGACATTCCAGGAGCATCCCCGCCCCTCCCACCACATATGCTATGCTCCAAGGACAGGCCACCTTGCTGTCCTCACAAGACGATCCTCCACTTCCCCGAATTTTCACTGGTTGTGCCCCAGACGTGGAATTCTCTCTGCCTCCTGGTCGGGGAAACCAGGCTTCCTTCGAGTCCCAGGCAAAGTCTTACCTTCTGCAAGAAGCCTTTCCCAGTCCTACTTAATCTAAATGGCTTCTCTCTGAAATCATTCCCAGTTTATTCCATTTAGAGCTGTCTGTACCTAGTCCTTGGGACGTTGTCTCCACCATTAGACCATGAGCTCCTTGAAGGCAGGGAAGGGCTTTTGCCTTTCTTTATATTGCCTGAACTTAGCACAGTGCCTGGAACACAGTAGGCACATAATAAATTCTGGTTATTAACTTGTTGACCAGGGCCCTGAGTGTGCAGGACTGTGATGCCCATTTGAAAGGGTTCTGGAATTATTTCGTTTGAGTGAAGAGTGCCACCTCCTGGTCATACAAGAGAATGCACCATTGAGAGCAAAGGCCTTGGGATGGAAAGATCAGAGAGCACCTGAAGGACCTTAGGGGTCATGTCAGCCAAGCCTCTGGGGCCTTCCAAAGGCACTCACAGACATCTTCCCCCCACCCCTTCCCACCCAGAGCTGCCGTCTTTTCCCACTATTGGCTGGCCTCCTTGGTGCTGGAAGGCTGGCCTCCCATGAGAATGGAAATGGTTTGGGCTTTTCAGAATAGCAAGCCAGTGCAGCTAAGGGTCCCCTCTGATGACTGGCCTGATTCTCAGGGGGAAGCTAATGGAGCCCAGACTCTAGAAGACCCAGGGACTGGCAGCCCAATCAGGTACTGAGCAGCTCATCCCTGGGCTGACTGCAAGGCGACAGTGTTTGGATACCCATGAAACCAAGGAAGAAAATGCTAAAGGTAGTATGGATGGGCATCTTGGGCATTGTGGCATCCTTTCCAGGCTGCCACCCTCCAGATCCAGCTCTGCTTCCTGCTCACACTCCCTAGAGCCAGTGAGCACCAGAACCTCTCCTCATGCAGCATGGTTCTCTCCCCTCAGTTAAATGGGGGTCCCTGTAGGGAACCCTCCTCCCAGCATGGTGCGTGGCACAGGGCCCTTCTTTAGATTGGACTCAGACCACTCCACTCCACCATCCCTGCTCTCCCTGGAAGAAGATGCCTCCACACTGGACACTCCTGGGGTCCCTCCCATCCCTCCACCCCTTTCCTGCCTCTTTTTGTGTTTTATCTCCCCTTCCCCCCGCCTTAGACTGTAAGCCCCCTGAGGCAGAGACTGTCTCTCTTTTAATTTGGTGTTCCCAGCGCTTAGCACAGTGTCTGGCATGGTAGAGCATCTAATAAATGTTTACTGGATTGGGGGAAAAGGGTTATTGGATAGGTTTCATCTTCAGTTACATATGCTTACATTTCTCACCGCTGTGTTAACAGTGGCTGTGTTTAAAAGTCTGTCCAACTCGCCTCCCTAGTTGGTGGTGTGTGGCTAAGTATCAGAGAGGTTCCCTGGTTCATGCACACAATATGTACATAGAAACACGCGGTTTTGCCTTAACAGCTAACCCCTGAAGTGCTCTGCATCGGAGAGAGAGGGTGAACTGCATTGCAGCAGGTGAGATTTAGATCAGATAAAGGTGACATGTTTCTGATGGGGTAGGCTGTACAGAAAGGCTGTGATGGGGGATGGAAGGTCTCTGGTGATCTTGTAGCCTTAGAAGTTGGACACTCTCTCCTTCCTTGGCTTTGTGGAAGCAACGTCACCATCCTCTTTTTGATTTCCTAATGTGGGTGTTCCTCAAGGGTCCCCTCCTTTCCTCTCTGAATTCACACTCTTGTAAATCTCCCTCACTCCCTTGACTTTAGTCTCTGTGCAGAGGACTTCCAGACACCAGAGAACTGCTCTGGGTCTTTTGCCTTCCTGGGAGGGTCCCCACTCCCCGCTGATGGGCCCCTGTGCTGTACTCCCAAATCCAGGTCTCAAGCTTGGCCCCTTCCTCTGCGCTGCAGACTCGCCTCTCCAGCGGGATGTCCCTCGGATACTTCCTATTGCAGACAGCACATCAAGCTCATCACCCCTGACGCTTTCTGGCTCTGCTGTTCATCTGAGCAGCCAGCCTGCTTGGAAAACGCCCAGTCCCTCCAGCTCTTCCCTCTGCCCCTGCTCATCTCCCATCAGTCACTGAGCCTTGTCGATCCTATGTCTTCCATCCATCACATCCATCTTCTCGCTCCCCATTGCTACCAGCCCAGGGAAGGCCCCTCCTTGTGCTAGGGCTGGACTGCTACAATTACCTTCTTGCAGGTCTCCCTGACTTCTTTCTCTTTCCCCTCCAATCTGTCCTCCATCCTGCCAGAAGAACATGTTTTCTTAGGGAAAAATCTCGTCAGGTAACCTCTCTGCTCACAAAGCTTCAGTGGTTCTGTATTGCCCTCAAAATAAAGTTTTGATCCTTTGCCTAGATTTGAGACATCCACCACTTTAAACCAGATACCCCCACCTTACCCATTGTATCCCATACAAAAAGTCTAGATTCCTGGCATCCAACATGCCTTTCCCCTCCTACTTCTCCAGCTGCAGGAAGTGGTGTACTACCTCCAACTCAGAGAGGATCTGCAGGGTTCACACTTTTTTTTTTTAGGCAATTGGGGTTAAGTGACTTGCCCAGGGTCACACAGCTAGTAGGAATCAAGTGTTTGGTCTGAGGCCAGATTTGAACTCAGGTCCTCCTGACTCCAGGGCCGGTGTTCTATCTACTGTGCCACAGGTTCACACTCTTAAACTAAAGCTCCTGAGCCCCATTGGTCACTTACCTACATAGTCAACCAGTAGACAAAATTAGCTCAGGTCAAAGGCTAAGGTGATGAAATACAAAGTAGCTTAAAGAATTCCCCCAATCTCAGAAAACCTAGTTCACATTCTTCTACAAAAGCACACATCGACAGTGACAATGGGCATGGACAATGATAGAGGATCGTGTGCCCAAGGGACACCTGGGGTCAAAGCTACTCATGAGCATGGTACTGCAGGGCCCTAACACTCAGCTCGGCTCGCTGGGCCTTCCTGTCGCTGGGATTCAGTTCCTAACTGCCAAGGCTAATTCTCTCTCAAGTCCACAGTCGACACTATTCTCTGCTGCCAGGGCTCACACTTCACTCATTTCTTGCTCCCTGATGGGACTGCTATGTCCTACTAGGTAAGCAGCTCTGATGCCAAACACAATGGCCAAAGAGAAAGGGGAGGTGAGAGAAATACTCTCCCTCCCCCCACCCCTTTCCTGCTGCCTCTGATAGGGATGCAAGGAAGATGGCAAAGAATGATCCCCTCCCAAGAGCTGGTACTTCCTCCATAGCTGGCTCCCCTCTGGACTCTGAGGGGCCACACTCCTTGAGCTTTCCTGCCTCAGCTGTTTCTCAGGGCTGGTAAGCTTTCTTCTTAAGGGCCAAGAGGGATGCAAAAATGGCAAGCTACCCCTCAAATTTCTTTATGCTTTGCAAATGAGTACCAGGATAGACATTCTTTGAAACTTAACAAATTAACGCGCTCTCTCTCTCTCCCTCTCCTCTCTCTCTCTGTTCTCTCTGTCTTTTCTCATCTCTTCTCTTCTTTCTCTTCTCTTCTTTCTCCTGTCCTTCTGTCTCTCTTCTCTGTCTCTCTATTTGTCTATCTCTCTTTTCTCCTCTCTGTGTCTGTCTCTCCTCTCTCTCTTCTCTGTCTCTGTCTCTTTCTCTTCTCCTCCCTCCTTCTCTTCTCTCTCTCTATTTCCTCTCCTCTTTCTCATCTCATCTTCTCTCTCTCCCTCCCTCTCTTCTCTTCTCTCCCCTTTTTCTCTGTCTCTTCTCTGTCTCTGTCTCTCTCTCCTCCATCTCTGTCTCTCTTTGTCTCTCTTCTCTGTCTCTCTCCTTTCTGTCTCTCCTCTCTGTGTCTGTCTGTCTCTCCTTTCTCTGTCTCTATCTCTCCTCCTCCTCTCCTCTCTCTTTCTCATGTCATCTCTCTCTCTCTCCCCTCCCTTTCCCTCTCTCTGTCTGTCCTTCTCTCCCTCTTTTCTCACTCCTCCCTCATGCCCCCTTCCCCCCTCTCTCTACCTTTCTCTATCTTCCCTTCCCTTCCCTTCCCTTCCCTTCCCTTCCCTTCCCTTCCCTTCCCTTCCCTTCCCTTCCCTTCCCTTCCCTTCCCTTCCCTTCCCTTCCCTTCCCTTCCCTTCCCGCTCTCCCTCTCTCTTTCTGAAGGATAAATCCCCCCTCCACTCCCCGAGCTAGTAGACAGAATGGCTCTGTGGCTCCCAAATATGTCTGGGGTTGTCCCTCGTGTATACCTTCAGTTTGTTCCATAGATCTGGAATGTCCTTCCCCATGATCAGTTTTTAAATTACTGGCCTTTGTTCAAAAGCTAGCTCAAGTGTCACCACATTCAGAAAAGCCTTTCTTAATACTTGCCATCATTACCAATGGGAATGACTTTCTCTTTGGGACTTCACATAGCCCTTTGTTCTGCACCTCTCCAATGCTCTTGCCATGGAATTTTGTGAATTTTGGCCATTTGACTTGACCTATCCTTATGCTCTTGAAAGCTCTAAAAGACTATGAATTCCTTGAGTGCAGGGACCCCACTTCTCTGAGTTTTTATTGCCCCCAGCCCTAGGACAATTCTGGATTACGTGATGAACGTCATGTATTGTACCATAGCCGATTATGTCATGTTGAATCACGTGGTGTACTGTGGTGTACTGTATCATAGGATGGACTATTTTAATCAGTGATTTTCCTTAGTTGGGGGCTGCAAGCAAGCCACAAAGAATACAGTGATGGAGAACAAAGGTCACCAGTCCCATTGGGCCCTTTTCAGCCTTGCTCCTGAAATGATTTGCCAGCTACTGGGGCACCGGGAGGTTAAAAACAACAACTTCCCCATAGCTCAGGCCTGTACCTTAACAGTTTTGTTCAGTGGAATCCGTGGAATGATTTAAAGGGGACCCAGGCTAATGAGATATGGTATGAGTCAACAGGAATTTTAGATGCTATCAGATAAGGGCTTAGGCTGAAGTACCTGGGAATCGCATAAGGTCAGCAGCAGCCAGCTGGGGCCCTGGCCCTGCATTCCATGATTTCATGTTCCCTACCACACGGATTCCCTGATTACCCCTGTTCCCTGCACATGTCCCCTTTCCCCCAGATGGGCAGAGTATACATCTGTGTCCAAGAGAAAATCCTTCTCATCTCTTATCTTGCTCTATCATTTATTTAAATTCCTTCTGTTTAGAATCAGGAGAAGCAATGCAGAGAGGACCTGACGTCAGTCTTACCTTTGACACACACTAAACGGGCCTTGAGTCTCTGGGCTTTCAGGAGCATCTGTGAGCAGGCCCTTCGGGAGCATCCTTTCTCTAATGCCTTTATGGCTCCCCAGGGCTAAGCCAGGCAGGCAGCGATGGCAGACTGACATCCCAGAACCAGTCTTGCTCAGTTCAGAGTGGCACTGAGGGTAATACCTTAAGTCATAGTGAACAGGAAAGGCCAGTTGTCTATGCTATGTTGGGGAAAAGAGTGACTTCTGTGGGCCCAGGATCTCCTAGTGGGCCTGTGTGCCTTCCCTCAAGCCTGGGGAAGCCAGAGGTCACCAATTATTTTATTATGATGGGCAAAGGAAGTTAATTAATCACATGGGCTCCAAAGCTCTTTACCCACTGGCAGTACAGAACCCCAGAGAGATGGGCCCTGAATGACAGGCCAGAGGCAGGGTGCTGGTGGAAGCTCAGGAAAAGGCCAAGAGGAAGTGGCTTACCTCTCCACACCAGTTGCTTGGCACAAACTATGGAGCTTTCCTTGGTACACAGGTGTAAGGGTGTGTGTCCACTCAAGGAGTAGGCATTGAGCTTGGCCCCATGATCACAGAGGATCTTGACACACTCGACGTTGGCCACTTCACAAGCCACGTGGAGGGGGGTCTTTCCATTGGGTCGACAGTTGATGGCAGCGTGATGGTCCAGCAACACCAAGAGGCTCTCAATGTGACCAAACAGGACAGCCAAATGTAGGCCCGTGGCCCAAGAAGACTTCAGCTTGTAGTTAGGAAGCCAGTACCCTGTAAAACAGAGCCAAAGTCAAGGCTCTGGCTGGGTCGCCTGATCAGTGCACCTGTGAAAGTGTGTACTTCAGTAGGGGTCCTCAGGAAGGACAGAACTGGTGTAGATGTGCCCTGCCTTGAAAGACAGATGGGACTGTCCAGGAAGGTCTGTGTGGCCCCGGCACTGGTCCCTAATGATTCACTGTCTGTGACTTTGGGCTCTTCCAACGTAAGCCTCATGGAGATTCGATCCCAGGCTGAGGCATGTATGTGTGTATATGTATGTATACACGTGGGGTTGTGTTTGTGGGTCTGTGTGTTGGGCTACCCTCCCTCTACTCCTTCCCCTTCCCTCTGCTCCCTTTCCTCTCACTTGGCTGTCTCATGCACTCCCATGGGTTTAACAATCCTCTCCATGCAGATGGCCCTTAGAGCTGCACATTCAGTCCCAGGATTTCTCCTGAGCTCCTTTATCACCATCCACCTGCTGACATCTCTATCTGAGTGCCCTACGGGCACTCAAATCCACTACACCCAAGCCAGAAGCCATCATGTCTTCCTCTCTCTTTCTGTTGAAGACCCCATGATCCTCCTGCTCACCTAGGAGCACGATCTCAAAAGCCTCTTTGACTCCTCCTCCTGCTCCCTCATCCTCCAAACCCTAGCAGTTGTCGTCAATGTTGCTCACACTGTGTCCATGTGGGCAGCTAGGTGGCACAGCAGATAGAGCACTGGGCGTCAGGAATCAGGAAGACTTATCTTCAGGAGTTCAAATCTGGCTTCAGACACTTACAAGCTGTGGGACCCTGGGCGAGTCACTTAACCTTGTTTGCCTCAATTTCTTCTTCTGTAAAATAAGCTGGAGAAGGAAATGGCAAACCACTCCAGCATCTTTGCCAAAAAAAAACTCCCAGCGGGATCATGAAGAGTCAGACATGACAGAAATGACTGGACAACAATGTCTCTTGTATCTCTGTACTCTCGTCTCCATGTTCACATGGCCACCAGCTTCAGCCCTGTATCGCCTCTCACCAGGATTGTGGCTATAGCCTCTGCCGGATTTCCCTGTTCCAGTTCTCCTCTCTCCAATCCATCAGCCACATGCCTGCCAAATCATCGTTGTTGAGGCCGTGTACTCTGACCATGGCATTCTCCTCAATCCCAAAATCTAGAGCCACTATGACAAGGTACAAGCTCCTCCAGCTGGAATTTTGAGCCCCTCATAGCTTGGCTCCCAATGACATTTCCAGACTTCTTGCACATGCCTCCCCTTTATGGCCTCTTCTCCCTTAATATGTTGCAGCTTCTGCTCAATGGTCCTTGCCCTCGAGGGCAGAGCAGAAAAAGTCTATCTCCTCTTCCATGAGACAGGTTGTCATAGACTTGAACACAGTCTTCCCTTCTCCAGTTTATTGATGTCCTTTCTAAAAATGGGGTGCCCACAACCCATGATAACACTCAATCTGGGAATCAGACCGGGGAAGAATACATCAGGGATATCAACTCCTTATTCCCAAATACTTTGCCTCTTTTAAATTAGCTGCCATATTGTCTGTCCTGTTGACCAACACTTTCAACAATTGATTTGGAATCCTCTCCTCTTTAAGATATCTTGAAACTCAATCCCTACATCCATTGAAAATTATCTTCCTTCCATTTTGGATGTCTTCTGGATTTCTTGTCCAGCTCAATTCATATCTCCCCACTCCCTTCATCATCCTAACTGTCATTGCCCCTCTCCCATACAGAGACTCAAGCTAATGGGGTCCAGATATGGTGGCTCCACTGTCCTTACCAACAGGAACAGATTATTATAAAGTACCCCACATCTGTTGGTTGCTCTTCTTCCAGTTTCATCTACAAATAAATGTCTTAGAAATGATCTGGCTTAGCTTAATATCAAGGCAAGCTCTTTTGAGCTGACTCTCTCTTCAGCTACTTGCTACTTCATTGTGTTGTTCTAGGTCTTTTGAGATCTCTCTTTGCAATGTTTAACCAAAGAGCTTATTTTCTTAATTGGTTCTGCCCTGGTGGCCATGACTCTCCCCTCAATGGGGAGATCAGGTGTTCATTGGCTGAGGCAACTGTATGCTCTTTCATCTATAAAAAAGTTTGGAAAAGAGTGAATAGTCAATAACATTTATTAAGCATCTACTACATGCCAAGCATGGTATTAAGTTCTGGAGGTACCAATACAAAAAATAAAGCTAAGCCTTGCCCTCAAGGGGCTTACAATCTAATGGGGGAAGACAGAATGCAAAAGGAAGCTGAAAAGGGGAAGGAGGTGCTAGAGGGTTTCCAGCGCCAGAGCAGGATGTTCATGGAATCAAAACTGAGCACAGCAGCTGTTGGGAAAGATTCCAGCTACTATTTTTGATCATGAAAGTGACCAAGAAGGTACTGGTAACTGCAACCTAATCACTGATTCTGTCATCACTTCCAACAAAGTGACCCACACCCACTTTCAGATCATCACAGAAAGGTTCCTGTTTCCATGCATCTGCTCATTTCAAGTCAATCTAGATCCAGATCAACTTTTCATTCCCAGTCCTGGTCTCTGGACTTGGCATTGTTCAGTCATTTTCAGTTATGTCTGACTCTTCATGACCCCATTTGGGGTTTTCTTGGCAAAAATAGTTTCCTTCTCCAGGTTATTTTCCAGTTGAGGAAACTCAGGCAAACAGGATGAAGCGACTTGCCCAGGGTCACATGGCTATTAGGTGTCTGAGGTCAGATTTGAACTCAGGAATATGAGTCTCCCTGACTCCAGGCCTGGCACTCTATGTACTATGGTGCCCCCTAGGTACCCCTCTGAACTAACTCCTCACTAATCTCAAATCCTCACCTATCCACATGACATCTCCACTGACATAGTCTGGAGTCACTTTTCACTCAACAGATCCCAAACCAGACTCATAACCTAACCATGAACATTGAGTCACCTCCTCAATCTTCCTGACTCTGTTGGTGATGCCATCATGAGGCTAAGAAGGTTAGTGTCAACATTGACTTCTCCTTCACCTCACATCTGATGTCCAGCTTCACCATACCCTCTTGATTCTTTCTTAGAAATGACCCTCAGAAGGAAAATCAAATATGAAAAGGCGAAATCACAATAAACAAAAAAGAATCATCAGAACACAATTCTACGCCAGCAAAACTGAGACTTCAAAAGAAATAGAGGATTATCTAAAAAATATGAAAGTACCCAATTAATAAGACATCAAATGAGATCATAAATAATCCAGTTTCAGAAAACAAACTTGAAACAGCTATAAATGAACTACCACTAGCAAAAACTCATGTTTAGCTGGATTTATAGAAAAATTCTGTAAAAATTTTAAAGAACAATTACTATGCATACTACAGCAATTATCCTGAAAAACGGAAATAGGGGCAGCTAGGTAGTGCAGTGGATAGAGCTCCAGCCTTAAAGTCAGGAGGATCTGAGTTCAAATCTAGCCTCAGACACTTGATACTTACTAGCTGTGTGATGGTGGGCAAGTCACTTAACCCTGATTGCCTCATTAAAAAGAAAAGAAAAAAGAAAAAAATGGAGAAAGATTTCATAAGACAAATGGCTAATAACACTAACGCCTAAAACAGGGAAGGATAAAGCAACAACAACCAAAAAAAAGATGCCTATGGATCAATATCATGAATGAATATTTATTTTTGCTTAACCTTTTTTAAAAATCCTGTCCAAAAAGACATCAATTTATTTTCCAAAATCATTCACCATGATAAATTCAGATTTATACCAGGGATTCAAGAGAGGTTCAGCATTATTAGACCAATATACAACTTATTCATATGAAAAACAAAAGTCTCCCAAATCACAAGATTATGTCCATAGATGCATAAAAATCCTTTGAGAAAATATGACACTTTTTCATGCTCAAAACAAAACAAAACTTCCAAAGCATAGGCATAGAAGGGCATTTTTCCAATACAATAAAAAAGGCCTAACACTAAAAATTGGCATTATATGCTTGAAATACTAGAAGCTTTCCCAGCAAGTGCTGGCGAAAAGCAAGGATGCCCTTTTCCCTAGTGTTATTTGACATAATTCTAAAAACTGCTTTAAATCTAATTCACAACGAATCAATGTCATTAGCATAACATGGAGGCAGTGGATTAGGCAGCAATTGTCCTGCTAAAAAGCTAGGGTTTAGTGGGATTCAAAAGTCCAATGCAATCTTGGGCTTCATTAAAAGGGGCACAGCTTATGGGAATAGGGTAGGGATAGTCCCACTGTTTTGTCCCCACATAAGATCTTACATGGAATATTGCATTCAGTTCAGGGCACCATTGACCATCTGGACAGTCCAAGAGGAGGGCAACCAGGATAGTGAAAAGCTTTGAGTTCATGTCATAGGAAGATCTATTAATGATACTTGGCATGCTTAGCCTAGAGATGAGAAGACTTTGGGGTGGGGTAGGGGAGACATGATATCTGCGTTTAAATATTCAAAAACTTATTGTATGAAGGAGGGATTTGACTTGCTTCGTTTGCCTGAAGAAGGCAGAACTGGGAGTAATGATAATAATAACAATAACAATGATAGCAACAACCATAAGCACTTTACAATTACTATCTCATTTTTATCCTCATGACAACGCTGGGAGGCAGGCGCTATAATTATCCCTATTTTTCAGATGAAAAAACTGAGACAAAGAAGTGTAGTGACTTGTCCAAGGTCAAACAGCTGGTAAATGCCTGAGGCAGGATTTGAACTTGGACATTCCTGACTCCAAGTCCCACTCTACTGTGCCACCAAGCTGCAACGTTTTATGTCAGTAAAAACTTAACAATTTGAGGTTTCCCAAAATGGAATAGGCTGCCTTAGAAAGTGGGGATTCCCCCTGCCTGGAGGTCTTCAGGTAGAGGCTGAGTGCCTATCACTTGCTGGGTATGATAAAGTACAGATTTCTTCCGTGTAGGGGTTGGACTGGATGGCCTCTGGTGTCCCTTCCAACTCTCAAATTTTTGTGAAGCTGTGATAGAAGAGCTTGCAATTGCAGCAAGACAAGAAAAATAAATTAAAGGCATAAATACAGACAAAGAGGAGACAAAATGAGTTGTCTATGACATTATGGCTTACATAGAAAATCATAGGAATCAACAAATAAATTAACTGAAACAATGAATACCTTCAGTAAAGTAAGATACAAAATAATCTCCCCCCCCAAAAAAAAATACACAAAATTTCTACACAGCAAAATCCTGAAGAGAATAATAGAAAGGGAAGTCCCATTCAAAATAACTACAAAATACATAAAACATTTGTGGCTCAATCTACCAACACATATTTAAAACCTGAACATACACAATTACAAAATTCTCCTAAAAGAAATAAAAAATAACTCAAATGACTAGAAAAATATTTAGTGCACATGGCTGGGTCATGTCAATGTAATAAAATGACAACACTTCCTAAATTAATTTGCATATTTAGTGGTATACCAATCAAACTACAAAGGGGATACTTTATGAGGGCTGGACAAAAATCATAAAATATATTTGAAAGAATATTAAAAACTAGAATATCATGGGGAAAATGAAAAAAATCAGGAATGAAGAAGAAATAGCCCTTCTATGCCTCAAGTTATATTATAAAAGAATTGTTGTTGTTCGGTCATTTTCAGTCATGTCTGACTCTGTGTCCCCATTTGGGGTTTCTTGGCAAAGATACTAGAATGGTTTGTCATTTCCTTCTCCAGCTCATTTTACAGATGAGGAAACTGAGGCAAACAGGGTGAAGTGACTTGCTTAGGGTCACACGACTAGTAAGTATCTGAGGCTGGATTTGAACTTAGGTTCTTTTAACTTCGGGCCCAGAGCTCTATCCACTGCACCACCTACCTGCCCCTTATAAAGGAATAGTCATCCAAATTAGTTGGTACTGCTGATGAAGAATCTTGCTACCCACCTCCTGACAGAGAGGTGATAAACTCAGTCAGCAGAATGAGACATGCATTTTTTGGATGTGGCCGACGCAGGAATTTATTTTTCTTAAATATTTATCAGAAGTGTTTCCTTTCTCTTTCTTTCCAGAGAAGTGTAGGATGGAAATAAAAATCAGATTTAATTAAAAATGAGCATCATCCTTTGCTCTGTCCCTTTCCTCTATGGATGGAGACTGTGATGGGTGAGAAAGATGCTGAGTCCCCTCTCTCCCCCCCTCCATCCTGGAAAAGCACTGTACATATAGTATCTCACTAGAACTTCTCCACAAATCTCTATTATACGATGGAGGAAAGTGAAACAGACAGAGGGGAAGAGACTTATCCAGTGTCACACACCTAGGAAGTATCCATGGCAGCTTTTGAACTTGAGTCTTCCTGACTCCAAGTCCATCGATCTTACCACTGAGACTGTAACCACCTCAGGCCCTTCTTAAGGGAGCTGGAACGATGTGCTATTCCTTTCCTCAGGCAGGGAGTATGGGGAAATGTCACTTTCTGTTTCTCACCAAATCAAAACACCTACTCACAGGAGTAAAGCTTTAGCCCTAGGAAGGGATTCAAACTGACCCAAAGCAATGAACCCTCTAGGATGCATTAAGCATGGAACCCGGGAGCCGAGGGTCCTCAAAGGACTGCAGGTGCTTCTTGAGCCCCAGAGGGTCTGGCCTGAGGCAGGGCAGGGCCAGGCTGGGGATAGGGAATGCTGGGCTGGGCATCTCAGAGCAGGGACGTTAAGTTACCAACCAAAACATTTCAGATTGTGAAAGTAAGTCAATAAATGAAATCTGCACCTCCAAAAAATGCAATCAGTGCCAACCATTTGCTGGTCAGAGTCAAGCAGAAGGAAATTAGCTAATTTGATCTCAGCAACTTTGAGAGGCTGTTTGATGTTGTAAGTGGAAGACCAGCCTTGGGGTCTGGGAAACTTGAATTCCACTTCCTGTCTGACCACTGGACAGAGACATTCCCTCTCCAAGTCTCAGTTTCTTCATCTGTAGACTGGGAATAATAATACTATAGTATCATTGTGGGAGGCCACACACAGTCTGGTGGAGAGAGGGCTGGCCTCAGCGTCATGAGGGCTGGCCTCAGCATCATGAAGGCTTCCTCTGACATACAGGTGACTGTCTGGACAAGTTGTCGATATGTATGGGGGGGTTAAATTGCCACAGTATGAGTCCCCCCCAATAATGAGAACGCAATGTCAGGCTGGTCCTCTCCCTAGTAAAAGGAAAAGGACTAAAAGAATCTCTGGGGTGGAGCTGGAGTGATCACCAAGTGCAGTTTCCCATTTTTTTTCATTTACCTAAATCTGTGAAATTCACCTTTTCCTCCTACCCCTCAAACCCCCTCCCCAGTGAGCAGGATCTTAGGAATGGGGCTTTCTTCTTCTTTTCAGGCAAAGCCAAAGAAAAGCTTACATTGCCACAGTCCATCAGTCCAGCCTCCCCCAGGCCACAGCTGCCTTCCCAGCCCTAAACCAGACATTAGCAAACACCCACCAATTTCTAATCTTGGGAGGTAAAGGCTGGTAGTGCTGGTGGTGTAGACATGTCTAAACAAACAAACAAGTGAACACTCCCAGCAGGTCCCAATCTTCCCTCCGAATCCCCAACCCTAGGGTGGGCCCCTTGCAGTGCTGTACCTGGCCCAGCGGGCTGCCTATTTATGGGGCTCACCCCTGAGCTGGAGCTCAGCTGGGAGACTGAGATGGGCCTACATCTGTTTCACCCCCCTTCAGATGGTCTAAGCAGAACTTCAGGTACATACAGAAAGACAGACAGCTGCAGGCCCTACCTGACCAGCCCTTCTGGAGAGGACTGGTTGGTTCTGGGGTGACAAATCTCTGTGGCAGCAAAGAGAATTTGTTCAAGCGCCTGGGTCAAAGTTAGCCTGCTCCCTAGCTAGGCTCGCACCGAGCAACAGCACCCCTGTGCCCAGGACAAGGCCAGGGCAGAAACTGCACACAAGGACAAAAGATGGTGCATTTCAGAAGGGCTCCAGGGAAGCCTTCTGTGGGACCTGAGGAGCTGGGTCCAAACCGCCTATGGGGTCAGTATAGCAGCTCCTTCATTCCTGAAGCTTGATCTGCCAGGTAGATTCCTTTATCCTAAAGGAAGTTAGGAAAAGACCGACAGAGATGGCTATGTAGACAGAGGGATGGATAAACGGATAGATGGACGGAAGGATGGCTGGATGGACAGCAAGATGGCTGGATGGACAGACAGACACTCTGCTGCCTGAGCTGGACTGCAGCTCCTGGGAACAGAGAGAAGATCGGGGGCAGGGAGGAGTCAGATGCTTCTTTTAGAAATAGGCAGTGCAGAACTGGTTACAGGCCATCTCAAGCCCCCTGGCTAGCCATTGCAGGGTGCAGGCATGCCAATGCACACTGAAGACTCTGTGTTTTTACCTTGTTTGTAAGATGCCAAGACCATGTTCTCATCTTCCACTTCAAACACTGTGTCCACATCAATTTTCCTTTGGACTAAAAGAGCCTTCAGCTTTCCAAAGTCATTGGCCTTCAGAGCCTCCAGGAAGGTTTTCTTGGTGATCTTGGTGGCGGCCCTGATTGTGGATTCAGCGTCTTCCATGCTGCCTTTGCTCCTGAGGATGGCCCCAAACCAGCAGTGGTGCTGACAGGGCTGAGGCTGCAGCTAATTTTATCCCCGAGCTGTGCTGACCTGTGCTATTTATACCGAGGCCAGCCCGAGCTTCCAAACACCCTTGTCAGCTGGTCCAGACTGGCCTTGCTTCTGACTGTGCAATCTACAATGCCTGGGCCGGCAGCAAAGGCCCCGATGGGGGCCTGTGGGAGTGGCTCCCCATCAGGATTTCCAAGGGAACCCAGGGGATCAAGTCAGGAAAGAGAGCCCTGGAGGGGCCACACGTACTCCCAGAAAATGCATCAGGGCCCCTGAAGGCCCTGGTGTCACATGGCCACTCCCGGGCAGGTCACTCTGGGCACTTCTTTCCTGTCTCCTACTCTCAGATTCTGGTATCCTGTAACCTGGAGCTTGTCAGAATGGGAGTCCCAGGGCCAGATACCAAATGTTACTCCTGGCATGCCAGCAAACAGGGGTCAATCAGAGGCCAAAGGCCTCAGCCCAGGAAAGGCCCAGCCTCATGAGGCCCTGCCTGCCTGCAGACCAGCCCGGATGGCTCCTGTTCGAAGCACTGCTCCTCGAGGTCTCGGCCTGACCACTGCAGACAGGGCCTCCATCCAGTGGAGATGAATCCAGCTGCCTCCCCCAAGTACCGACTATGAAAAAGAGCACCAAAATGTGGGCATGTACCCCCCGCCCCCCATTATTGGGAAAGCCACCAATGAATGCCTGCTGTGGGCCACAGGAAGCCAGGCTCAGCCCCTTGGAACTCCTAGAAAACAAAATCCCGGGGCCCATTCTCTGGCCTTCTCACTGTCCCCTGACCACACCCCTCTACCCTCCTGACCCATGTTCCCCTGGGAACAGCACACTCTGCCTCTTCCCCATCCTTTACCGCCTGGGGGCAGGCAGCTCCCTGACTCAGAGAAGGGACCCTGAACAGCTCCCTCACTGCTAGGTCTGCCCTTTGGGGTAACCAGAAGTAAGTCCAAGCTCTCATTCTGAAAGAGGATGGTCAGTGACACCCCACTTATTGGGATAAGGCTGAAAATAAACCGGATGTGGTCAGAACCTCAGGGGAGGGGGAGGGCACGGATGCCTGAAGGAGAAGATCCAGTGGTCTGAGGGTACCCAAGTTCTGAAGGGTCATAATAAGCCCAGCTCTCCCAGGGGCCATTGGCAGGACATCGGGATCCAGCCTTGAGGTTCCCTGAGCTCTGTGTTCCCGATCTCAACCCTCTGAGGCAGGTCCTGGGCATGTTGCCCTTTGAATTGTAGAGAGCGGGAGGTGGGGTTACCCGTGAGGTTCCCTCTGAACAAAGTCTCCACGTCAGCTCTGTCCCTTCACTGCCCTTTCCCTGAGCTGTGACGACCCGCTCCTGCCCCACTCAGAGGTCCTCCTTCTGCAATTGCTCCCACAGTAGTCTGGCCCGTTGCGTGGGCAGGGGGTGCCCCTTGCTGCGGCTCAGCTGTCTTCTTCTACGTAGTAAGGAAGTTCTTGGCCAGCGTTTGCTCGAACTGTGCTCTCCCACCTCCGAGCCTTTGCTCAGGCTGCACTTGATGCTTGGTGTGCCATTTTTCTCTCTTCCTGGGCTAAATTCTTGTCATCCTTTCAAGTTCCACCTCTCCCATAGAGCCCTACTTAATTCCCACAATACCCCAGTCCTGACATTCTTTGGTTGCACTGTTCCCTTTGATAATTCTGTCTAATCTCAATGTTTCTCCCCTAGCACCTGGCAGATGCTCTGCACACAGTCAGTGTTTAATGAACACGACATCTTGGACACCCAGGGTCATGCGGTGTTGGGGCTGGGGGGGGTGGTATCATCCAAAGAAAACATTGAGTCCACCCCCCTCATTTTACAGGTGAAGAAACTGAGGCTCAGAGGAAATGGGGCTTGTCAGAGTCACACCACCCATTGCTGGGCTGGGCTGACAAGGAGGTCTCCTTCCATCTCCTCCCTGTACTTTGTGGCCTGAGGCCTGGGGCCAAGCTGCAGAACCCTGCCTTGCCAAGGGAATTCAGGGAAGGAAGGAGCGGTGGGAGGGCAATAAGGAGACAGTGACTCCCAATTGAGTGTTAGAGCCTTTGTACCCCTTCCCTCCCCCACACACAGCAGGAGCCATATTGTCTGGCTGGGGAGGATCTTCAAGCCCATTTAAGCCAATGGCTTCATTCCACAGAACAGGCACTTGGTGGGGAGGGGGGGAGTGTCTGCCCATTGTCCACACAGAGGGAGCTGCACAGCTAGCAGCTCCTCTGGAGCCATATGCAAACCTCCTGGGTGGGGAGGACTTGGACATGAGGCCCCAGAGCAGCACATCCAGCGGACGTGGAGGCTGCCCTCTCTCCTCTTCCCGAGGGCTCCCAAGGGGGTGTTCTGTCACCATAACCAGTGAGGGGCTAGCCACCATGCAGAGGGCAGGAGGCCAGGAAAAGAGTGACGCTTTCCCACGTCCCTGCAGTGGGCTCTGTTGACAGAAGGGTCTTCACTGCCTCTGGTTTCCACCTTCCCCTCCAGCTTCCTAAGAAGGAAGCTGCTGGCTCAGGACATATAGGAATGAGCTGAGATGATGCCTGATTGGAGGAGAAGAGGAGAGGCAGAAACATCTCCCTGGGGCCTGTTGGGAGCTGCCTGGGACCATAGGAGGTTGGTCCCAAAGCTTATCTTTCTTACTTAAAATTACATTTGTGATTCTGTTTAAATAGCAAGAAAAGAATTTGCCACATTATAGACAGAAAGGCCCTCAGTCTGAAGGAGTTCCTCCTTGACTTCCCCACCCAGGAGTCAGGGCTCAGGCACTGTAGGACAGAGAGCCTCCCTGATTTTTGTAAATCCTCAAAGTAAAACAACAAGCCAGTGGGAGTTGGGTCCCTGACTCCCCCTTGCTTAGGGGTGGGAAGCGCTGGCCAAGCAGGACAATGTTTCAAGCAAATTAATTTCCCCCTTGTTCGCTGACAGGGGTTGTCCTGAGGAAGGGCTATTCACCAGGGGAAAACCACAGCCCTGGGGCTGGCTGAAGTGCAATAGGAGCAGAGCAAGCTGGGCTCCACCTACAGGAAGGTGGTGGAGTGGTTAGATTTCTAACCTGACCCCTTCCAATCCAAGACACTTCCACAACCCTCTGCCCTTTAAACTACCAGGGAGCTGCCCCCTCCTCCTCTGCGCCCTGTGGTCTCCAGGCTTTGCCTCATGCTGAACATGAAAGCAGCCTGCTTGCTGAGGCTTTGGTCCTGTGTCTGTAAGCATTTATTAGGCACTGGGTGTGTTCAGAGCCCAATACTATGGCCAGGAAAACACAAACAAGGCCCCAGGCCTGACCTCAGGCCCCTTCTAGGCAAGCACCCAGTGCCCACAGAGGTGGGGGACCACGAGCAACCTTCACAGAGTGGCTTTTCAGGAGGGCCAGGGAGCCAGGAAGCCAGGCTTCGGAAAAGCCAAGGTGCAATGGCAGCATCCACACCCAGGCCAGGTAGTTTGTGGCCCAGCTTTCTCCTGGTTGTCCTCCTGCCTTCTGGACCACAACTTCTCCTTCATCCACTCCTCCTCCCTGTAGCACCAGTGGCCCCCAGGGCTCTGTCCTGGGACCTTTTCTCTTTTCTCTCCGCACTCTCTCACTTGGTGCATTAATTGGACATTTCAAGCAGTATTTCCTCTGCCTGTTTCAAATCCAACATGTGCAGAAGAGAGCTCTTTCCCCTCACAGTCTCCATCCTCCCAAACTTCCCTTTTTCTGTTAAGGGCACCACCATGTTCTTGACAGATATTGCCATTTCTACCCCCATGTCATCTCTCACCTCCAATCATTTGGTCAAACTCACTGACCCCTTCTGGGCACAAGTGCTCATCATCTCACATCTGAACTATTGCCATGACCTTCTGGCTGCCCTGCCTGCCTGCAGTCTCTCCCTACTCCAATCCATTCTATAAAGTGATTCTCCTAGAGCACAGATCTGACTGTGCTGCTCCCCCTCTCAACAAACTTCTGTGGCTCCCTATTACCCCCAGGAGGACAACCAGGAGAAAGCTAGGCCACAAACTACCTGGCCTGGGTGTGGATGCTGTTTGGCATTTAAAGCTCTTCACAAATTGACCCTAACTCACCTTTCCAGTCTTCTTATACTTTACTTTCCTCCCAGAACCCTCATGGTTAGGCAACACTGTCCTACTTACTGTTCTTTATACATGGCACTCCATTTCTGACCTCCACACCTTTGTCCTGGCTAACTCCTACACATAGAAGGGCCTCCTTCCTGACCTCTATCTTCCAGAATCACTCATTTTCTTCAAGTCTCAGTTCAAGTGCCACCTTCAACATGAGGCCTTCCCTAATCCTCCCTCCCTCCCAGCCACGAATGTTTCACATCCCTGGTCCCAGAAGAGATGGCGGATCCATTTCTGATCAGGCCAGAACCGCTGGGCTGTTGCCATGGCGACCGGCTTTGCTCTCAGAGTGTGGTACCCGCTCCTGTGATGGAGGCAGAGGTGGAGGCTGCCTCACAGCAGCCTACCTGCAGAGGGCCCTCCACAGTACACCTCACCCTGTGTTCCCACTCAGGAACCTGCATGTGATCCCTTCCTGTTCTGGAACTGACTCTAATGAAGGTATCAGATTGATTTCACAGGTTTAGGGTTAGGGAACCACACTGATTAAATAACATAATTGAAAATCAAGTCTGTGCTGGCCAGCCAAAGGATGCTCTCTGTACCTTCAGGAGGATGACCTCCAGCTGTGTCATGAAGTGGGATCAGGATGGGCAGTAAGCAAGCCCTCAGCTCTCCATGCCTCCTAACAAAAGGCAGTAATAGTCTTGTGAGGAGACCATGAGAGCACAGGCATTGCATCATCACAGCTTGTGGAGCCATAGCAACATGCCCAAGGGAAGCCAAAGATTCTCCATGATGGATCTGGGAGGAGGGCATCCAAAGAGGACAGCACCCACATTCCCCATTTCTGGTGTAGGAAGCCTTGGTGTAACTGCAATGGACATTCCCTTGTCCTAACTACATCTAACAGGTGTGGCCCCTGCTTCCCTGGACTTACTCAGGAAGATAATCATCTTCCTCAACAAGCAATTATCTCAGGAGTTCCATTC